TTTTTTTATACAGAGTTTCACTCTTGTCGCCCAGCTGGAGTACAGTGGCCGATCTCGGCTCACCGCAAACTCCGCCTCCCGGGTTCAAGCAATTCTCCTGCCTCAGTCTCCTGAGTAGCTGGGATTACAGGCATGCGCCACCACACCCAGCTAATTTTTGTATTTTTAGTAGAGACAGGGTTTCACCATGTTGACTAGGATGATCTCGATCTCTTGACCTCATGATCCACCCGCCTCGGCCTCCAAAAGTGCTGGGATTACAGGCGTGAGCCACCATGCCCGACTGCAATCATGCATTTTACATACTCTAATCTCTCTAAATATCATTGTAAGGCCTAAAACTCAGTGCTCAAAATCAAGGTGATAAATCTATCAAAGGCTCAAATAGTTGCAAGTATAAATGATGTTCAGTCACAAGTAGTAGATTTTTTTAACAAAAGTTTTAAATAAAGCCTGTATACCATGAAATATGTGAGATAATCTCAGTTTATAATGATGCTGCATCAATATTTCCTAATAAACAATGGAATTTTGAAAAACAGTTACTTGTAGAAGCAGGTTTTAAATTCAGTAGCTCATTTTGTTTGGAAGTAGATATCCTCTACTACTTTCTATTTACATTGTTTAATGTAAATGTTTTTAAGAGTGGGTATTGCTCTGTTGCCCAGGCTAGATTCAAACCTCTAGGCTTACGTGATCCTCCCACCTCAGCTTTCCAAGTAGCTGGACTACAGGTGATAAATTTTTAAATATTTTTGAACATGATTTTTATGGTTAGGCAAACCGTATTATCTAGAAGAATTTAAGTATGTCAAGTATAATGTATTTCAGGAACGTAGCACAAAAGTTTGGTGATAAAAAATTCTCTGCAATATAGTTTATATAATTGTGAAATTCACATAGCCATAAAATTCACCATTTTAAGCGAACAATTCATTGGTGTTTTGGAGATTCAGAACTTACACAGCTACCACCTCCGTCTAAAATAGCTTCATCACTTGAATGTAAAACTGAACCCTTTTAGCAGTTGCTCCTTATTCCTTATTTCCCTTAGCCCTTGGCAACCACCAGTCTGTGTACTGGCTTCATAAATTGGCCTACTTTGGATGTTATGTGCAAATGGAGTCATGCAATGCGTGACCATTTGTGTTTAGCTTTTTTGTAGTCTGTTTCCATGAGTCATCTGTGTTGCACCATGTGTGAGTAGATCACTACTTCTCATGGCTACATAATATTCCATTGCATGCATATATACAACAATTTGTTTACCTATTCATTAAGTGATAGGCATTGAAGCTGTTTTTTTACCTTTTGGTACTACAAATACTACTGCTGTGAACATATATCTACATGTATTTAAGTACCTGTGTTCAGTTTTTTGTTTATATATTTTTTTTGGTATATACTCAGTAGATTTGCTGGAGCATATTGTAATTATGTATTTTTAACCATTTGAGGAATTGTCAAATGTTTTCCATGGTGATCGAAGCATTTTATATTCCTATCAGCAATATATGAGGATTCTAATTCACATTTTGGACATTTAATTTTTGGTGTTGTTGTTAGTAGTGGTGGTTTATTTGCTTCATTTTAAAAAGCATAACTATCATAGTGAGTGTGAAGTGATACTTGGCTGTGGGTTTTGATCTGCATTTGCCTGATGACTAATGACATTGAGCATATTTTCATGTGCTTTTTGATTATTTGTGTATCTTCCTTGGAAAAAATGTATTCTAGTCTTTTGCCTATTTTTAAATTGGGATTTATTTTTATTGTTGAGATGTATAATCTTTTATACATTCTGGAAATAAGACTCTTATCAGATATGTAATTTGTAAATATTTTCTCCCATTATATGTGTGGTTTGTTTAACTTTCTCAATAATGTCATTTGATGTAAAAAGGTTTTTGTTTTTTTTTTTTTTTTTGAAAAAGTTCAGTATATCTATTTTTCTTTTGCTTTCTGTGATCTGGTATTATATCTAAGAATCTATGGCCAAATCCAAGATATTAATATTTACCTCTAGTTTTTATCTAAGAGTTGTTTACAGATTTCACTTCTTGTGTTTAGATTGTTGATCCATTTTGAGTTAATAGTTGTTCATGAAGCGAAGTAGTCTAACAATTCTTCTACGTACAGGTTTCCATGTGTTCCATTGCTATTTGTTGCCAAGACTATTTTTCCTATTGAATGGTCTTGATATTCTTGTTGAAAATCAATTCACCATATAGATGCATTGTGCCTTACAGTGTTTCTGAGGGATGCCCACTGTTTTTCTGCTTTGAGTGATTTCCAAGTTTGGTGAAACAAAGATAAGTGCCATATATCACTCCTTCAGACAGTCTCCAGACAGATTAGAATAGACCACCACAATTCTTCATTAATAAGGATAGCTCTGCTCCCTCTAAAATTCATGGTGTCATACTGGAATGTTCACTGATGTTTTCAACGCCACTCTGAGCCAGTGAGATGGTAGAATAAAGACAAGTCAAAATGCCTTAAAGTTCTTCTACCACATTTGATTTACCTTTAAAAAAACAATCTGCCTTCATCCAGTTGCTGTAAATCTGTGACTGTTTTCCAGAGTTTTAACAAATTTGCTTTTGAAGTTCTCTGCTTAATTGTGATTTTTTGATGTTTTGTGGCGAGGCCATTTCTTGGAGCTGCCTTCTCCATTTCTACTGACATCACTCCTGGAAAATGTATTGTCAATCCTATATAATTTAAATAGCGTATTATTGGTGTTTCATCAGTTGAAGAAGCTTATATGTTTTTAATATGTGAACTTACAAGGTATATTGCATTACTAAATGTACCCCAATGTATCCTGGCCTGATAGCCTCTATCTAGCTACTAATAAGACTTCTTCTGAGCTATTTCTCATATTTAATAAAAGGATGTACATGTGTACCCATAAACTAGACTTGCAGCTATGAATCTCAAAATACAGTGCCTATTTTTCTCCCCTTCTGCACTGCCCAAATATACCACACAACTGTCTGCAACATTGAGTCCACATATTACATAAAAACTACTTCCAGTAATAATCACCAGACCATAGACAATTAGCTGTTAGTGTGTAAAATGGCCCTGAGTATGAATATACTGTATACTATATTGTACACAGTATATAGTACTTTTGGAATATATATATTCTAAATAGCATATAGAGAGTACAGAATATATATATATATACACATTCCAAATACTGTATACAATTGGAAGGTGATATAGATTACTTATAAGAATCTAATACTTGTCTCAAAGAATTCTGAACATGATAAAGAACAACATCTTTTCTCTTGAAATAATCTAAAACAAGCTAGATAGTGTTCTTCCTGGAATGAATTAGCATAGTTTTGTTATGTTTTTTCCTGGAAGCTAGGGAATCAACTCAGTTATCACAGTCAGTTTTGTAATTCATCATAAATATACAATATACTTTTTAGTAATTTTCTGATATAATATGCAAGGAGGAATATGAGAATTAAACTGAGGGAAGAAACAAAATGAAAATGGTTTCTTCCCTCAGTTTTCTGAGGGAAGTATAATAAGTATAGTATAACCTAGCCATAGTATAATAAGAGAAAGAAAGAAAACTGAGTTTTCTCAGTTTTCTTTCCTTCTCTTATTATACTATGGCTAGGTTTTCTGATTTCCTGTTTCTTAAGATACTTGTGAATAAGTCTCAGATGAAATACATGTCTTAGTTTTCTCATTTCATGTCATTTTAAAATGGGATTATCTGGACCTTCTGTACTGTGGAAAGCTGGTCCAAACTTAATTGTTGTGAATATGCTCTGGGAACTGTTTTTCAGTTATTTTGACAGAACATTTTTTAAATGTACAGGAAGCAAAGTCAGTTTTTCATGGGCATGCCATATGTTCAGAACTTATTTAAAAGTCCATGTCAACCATCACAATAAAATGAACAAATGGAATAACTGTGATTCTGAGTTTGACTTATTGGCTTTGAGCCTTTGTACTCAACTACCATATGTGATATGAATTGTTTAAATTCTCTTTACAATAAAAGCACTTACCTTAAAACGAAAGCATTTTATCCATTAGAGACAATTTATGTTTTGGACTTGATAAATATTTTAACATGTGATTATATTCAGATAAACTCTGCTCTGCAGTGGATGCTTGTTAGGCTCAATTAAAATATATACAATGTCAGATTGTAAAATCTAAGAAATAAATGTAGAACTTGCATTAGAGAGCAATACAAATAGTCAAACGGTTATAAAATAAATTACATGGATGAATAAAGTCTTAAATATTTGGAAACACTTATTCTCATTAGTGCAAAGGTAAGGTGTAACTCTTAAAAACATTCTAACTGCAAGAATTTTCCCAAGTGCTGTTACTCTCCCATTATACATCAGTTAAATAAAAGAAATATTGCAAAAAAACAATATCTACAATTTTTTAAAATTCTACTTTCAAATTTTATACAAGGGGCCTCTATTATTTTAAATTAAGAAAAAAGAAAAACTTTTATCAGTAGAGTTTGTCAGAGATAAAATGTAGATGGGTTTTAACATTTTCATAATGAACAGATATGTGACATAAATTGGAAGGTGACAAGATTAGTTATAAGAAACCATTCCTCATCTCAAAGAATTCTGAAACTGCTAAGGAATAATGAGGTCCTTTCTCTTGAAATAATCAAAAACAAGATAGTCACTGTTCTTCCTAGAATGAATTAAGTACAGTTTCTTTATGTTTTATTTCCTGGAAGCTAGGAAATCTGTTTGGTGTCAGTTTTGTAATTCACAGATATTGCTAAGAAATTTGACAGGCTTAAAAGCCTTTTTCAATTTTCAGGATGAATCTTAGTATTATACATCTAAATTACTCGAGCTATGATTTCTGAGAGGGGGAAAAAAGCTATCAAAAGTAATTTGCTATACTAAGAAGACTCTTCTTGTGATGTCATATCTCTTTTTGTCTTACTTGTTTTTTTCGTTTTGTTTTGTTTGTTTTGTCACTAGCACGGGGATTCTAACCTTAGGGAAAGCACTGGACAGGGAAAGCACTGATCGCTACATTCTGATCATCACAGCTTCAGATGGCAGGCCAGATGGGGTGAGTATGCTTCCGGGGAAAGGGTTTTAAAAATAGTATTAAAGCAACTGGGAGAGTCTTAAACAATTTATTACAGACATGAATTAATATTTTTCACCTGGAGCAAATTCTTATAATTACTAGAAGTGGTGCTCTTTTCTCCAACAGGGTATTAATACATGCACCTATTCTCTGAATGTGTTAATGTGCTGTAACCTTTGACTTGGCAGAACAGATACTTGAGATCAGCGTTCTTACCTACCTTGTAGGGAAAATGAATTCTCCTTTATTCTGACAGGCATTCCATTGTGTCTGTCATTTGCACTACACTATGAAATGTGTTCTGGAATTTTACCATGTTAGACCTGTTCCACTTAGTGTCATTTGATAAGGGTCAGAGAGGAGGAGTGGATTTCGTGGATAAATATCTTTAAGCACTAGGAGAGTGATTTACTTGCTTCCACAGGCATTTGTAAGTAGCAGTCAGAATCCTAAGTAATTCCTGGTTACCTAAGTAATTTAAATGGGCTCATAATTCTAAAGAAGATAAATTCTATTTTCTTGAGACCTAAAATTCACTTTTAAAAATAAAAAAAAAATTGTTAGGCATTCTTAACTGCTTTAAAATCATTTGTCTGTATTATTCAAGCTGTCTCGTCCACAACTGGCAGCATCCTGGCTTCTATGTATTGTAATATTACCATTGTTAATAATTTGTTCACTATTTCTATACCATGTGTTAGGTGTTTCATTTTTGGAGGAGGGGGGTTTATGTGTCAACTCAAGGCTGTTGTCTAGAAATAATGTCAAACCCATTACAGATTGATAAGCAAGGCTCACCCAATTTAATTAGCAGCGTATCTCCAGGTCCCTTGAGATGATTCCTTTAATATATATAATACATCAGCTGAAAGCATACAGTCTTTCTTCACATTTATTTTAGGAGGATTGTTGAAATTTTATTATAATAAAAGTATAAAAATAATGCCTGAATAGTTTTCCCATATTAACTAAAAGCGAGATAGATAGAAATAACTACATTTGGTAATTGCAATATCTCCATAGTAAGCTATTTAACATTTTTCATACATTACATAAACATATATATATATTTATATTTATAAAATATATAAAAATTAACCTTAAGTTTTATTCTATCTTTTCTATCATCTAAGTACCTACTGCTATCCTCACTGTTTTCTAAAACTGTTCTGTATATCTATAGATATATAAAGTATTTATTTATTTTTATATATATTATATAATAAAATAAAACAAAATAATTTATATAAATAAAATATATAAAACAGTTTTAGAAAACAGTGGGGATAATAGTACATACTTAGGTGATAGAAAAGAAAATAAAATCTAAGGTTAATTTTTATATAGGCAATGACCCTTAATTATTATTTTTATTTTTTGAGACAGAGTTTCACTCTTGTTGTCCAGGCTAGAGTGCAATGGAGTGATCTTGGCTCACTGCAACATTTGCTGGGTTCAAGTGATTCTCCTGCATCAGCATCCCGAGTAGCTGAGATTATAAGCATGTGCCACCATGCCTGGCTAATTTTTGTATTTTTAGTAGAGACAGGGTCTCACCACATTGGCCTGGCTTGTCTTGACCTCCTGACCTTAGGTGATCCACGTGCCTCTGCCTCCAAAAGTGCTGGGATTACAAGTGTGAGCCAACGTGGCCCGTCTTGCCCTTAATTATTATAGTATGTCTGTGTTAGATGTATGTAAATAAGTCAGTGAGAGGAAGTAATTGAAGAACTTGACTTATGATGAAAGTTTAGAGGGGAAATTGACTACGCAATAAGTGAGAGAAAATATTCTAAGCAGGAGGAGGAGAAATTATTTAGCATAGTATGAGAGGTATAATTAAAGTGAAGTGAAATTACGAAAGTGCATTCAGGTCAACCATTAGAATAGAAAAAAGAGAAAGGATAATACATAGCTTTGAAATATGTCATGTTATAAATCAGAAACTAATGACAGTTATATTCGCAAGAGTATTTTAAGACTGTCCTTAAAAGTAAAATTTCTTAGACAAGGGAATGGATGGAAGGAAAACAGTCACAGTCTACTAATAATATTTTTGCCTACTTAAAACCAAAATAACTTCTCAGTTAGAATTAGTAGTTTTCTTCTTTCTAGTTCATTGTTCAGTAATTTATTTGTATATTTTAATTCTCCTTGGACAGGACACTTGGAATTTTCTAGGTTCTTATTTCTTCATTCTTATAATCACTCAGGTTTCACTTTGCTTTAAACTTCTGATTTTTTGAGTAAATTTTGTTTTTCTTTCTAAGGTTTATAATGAGAATCTTAGTAGAGTATAAAACATCTAGATTTCAAACAAAATTTTATTCAGTTAATTCTATCATTTATATAACTTTAGGGATATATTTATATGTGGGCATGCACAGTGGGTTCCTGAAGAAAAAAAGTGATTACATAAAAATAATACTCTCACATCTTAATAACACCTTCTTATCTAAATATTTAGTAATTGTAGTAAAATTAACCTTTTAAACATAAGAATCATGTGGTTCAAACAGACATTTAATAAGCACAAACAGATGGATTTTATTTAAATCAAAATGTTGACAATCAATTTGTGTGAAAGGAATTGCTAGAGTGAAATAGAAAATTTTATCAAAATACACCTTTTCTACCACCTTAAAATGAGAATGAGGGGGATGAGAGGTCGTGTTCTATTGGGCATTGTGAACTTATTAATAGACAGGATTGAAGAAGTTTGATTTGACTGTCCTTTTCTAAATTTACTTTGTTAATTATAGTTGAAAAATATGTATTAGTTAAATATCTCATGTAACATACTATTCATTTTTAAGCTATGAGGGGTACAGATAAAACTATACCTTTTATATTCTAACTTTTTTTGAAGATTCAGATCGAGGGTGTCTTTTTTTATGTTTTATATACAACATAGATAGTAACAGAGGTCACCAGAGCAATTAGGCCAAAAAAAAAAAAAAATAGAAAGAAAGAAAGAAAATACATTCAATTTGAAAAGGAAGAATAAAGTTATCTCTGTTAGGGGTGATATTAACTTGTACATAGAAAACTTTAATGATTCCATACACATGTTTGCACATACATACACAAATGTTGGAACTAAGAAATTTAGCAAAGTATCAGAATATAAAATCAGCAATAATAATCATTGGCATTTTCATATACTAAAAATGAATTAGTTAAAAATTCAGAAAACAGTTCAATTTACAATAGCATCAAAAAGAGTAAAATACTCGGGAATTACCTTAACCAAGACAAGAAACTTGTTTAATGAAAACTACCAAACATTTTAGAAAGAAATTTAAAAGAAAGTAACTAAATTGATAGACATCCCATGTTCATGGATGAAAACACTTAATATTGTTAAAAATGTCAATGCTCTCCCAAGCAATCTACAGATTTACTGCAATTTCTATTAAAATCCCATTGATGTTATCTACAGAAATAATTTTTTCAAAGACCAAACTTATTCTAAAACTTATTTTTAAAATTTCAAGGGACCCCAGATAGCCAAAAAGAAAAATAAATAACAAAGCTGGAGAACTTATACTTCTGATTTTAAACTTACTACTAAGCTACAGCACTCAAAACAGAGTAGTACTGGCATAAAAACAGAAATACAGACCACTATAATGTAATAGAGAATGAAAAAATAAACATTCATTTATTTGGTCAAATAATTTTTAAGTTGGGTGCCATCCTCATACAAAAAAATGAAGCTGGATTCTTATTTAATATCATATGCAAAAGCAAACTAAAAAGTGATTCATGACCTACGTTGAAAACTGCGACTATAAAACTCTTAGAAGAAAGCATAGGACAAAAGCTTCATTGCCTTGGATTTGGCAGTGATTTATTGGCTATGACCCCAAAGACACAGACAACAAAGAAAAAAAAATAGACCAATTGGAATTTGCAATTTTGTAATGGGGTATCAAAGACATAGAATAAAAAAGCAACATAAAAATGGGAGAAAATACTTGCAAATAATCTGTATGATAAGTCATTAATATACAATATATGTAGCAAATTTTTAAAACACAACAAAAATAACCTGATTCAAAATTGGCAAAGGACTTGAATAGACATTTTTCCAAAGGAGATATATAAATTGCCAGCAAACGTATGAAAAAATACTTAGCATTAGTAAATATTATGGAAAGGCAAATCAAGGCCATAAAGAGGTGCCAGCTCACACCCAGTAGAGATGCTATTATAAAAAACAAACAGAAAACAAAACAAAACAACAACAAAATAACATGTCGGTGAGTATGTGGAAAAATTAGAACCTTTGTGCACTATTGGTAGAAATATAAAATGGTACAGCCACTGTGGAAAACAGTGGCAGTTTCTCAAAAACTTAAAACCAGAATTACTATATGAGCCACCAATCACACTTTCAGTTATATATTCAAAAGAATTGAAAGCAGAGTCTTAAAGAGATATTTGTGCTCCCATGATCATAGCTGCATTATTGCCATTAGCTAAGTATGTAAAAGCAACACAGTTTTCCTTGTTATATAGACTACAAATCACAAAGACTCAAAGTACAATGTTGGTTGCCAGAAGATAAATAAGGGAGAAATGGGGAGTTATTGTTTAATGGTATAGAACTTCTATTTTACTAGATTAAAAGAGTTTTAGAGATGGATAGTGATGATGGTTGCACAAGAATATGAATATACTTAATATCACAAAATTTTACATATAAGAATTAAGATAGCACAAAGAAACAGTGACAAAAAATCTAGAGGTGAACAGTGAAGGGATGATGCAGTGCCATTGAGGATACCTGCTGGCTATTTTCTGTTTTGTCATTTTTGTTGTTTACTTTCATTCCCATCTTCTACAAGTCTAGATGTCAACTCTCCATTCCAGATGAGCAAAGTATAAAGATGAATGCCAGAAGAGTCTGCCACCCTGTTTCATTTTAACACAAAACCAATGTTTTTTCAAAAACCCCACCTAGCATATTTCCT